TGCAGTCTGCAGACCTCTATTGCATGTGGACGCCCATATAGTAGGCCTCAGAGGCACCCCTCTTTCGCATTGAGGCACCCCTATGGGCTTCATAGGCGCCCCTCTATTGCACGTAGGTGCCCTACTGTCTCAGAACCGCTCCCCTTTGGCATGCAGACGCCCATCTTTCGACGGAGGAGCCGCCGTGGTTCTTAGAGACGGCATGTTGCTCCCAGACGCAGATGGGGCTCTCGGAGTCGACAGTGTGGGACCTTCAGTCGCTGATGAGTGCCCGCCAGATGTGGACCCTCGGAGACGCCGGTATGGGGCCCTCAGAGATGCCGGTATGTGGCCCTTAGAGACACCGGTGTGGAACCCTCAGATACCTCAGTGTGAAGCCCTTACAATTGCTGGTGTGGAGCTATGAATGCGCTGGCGAGGCCGGTACATGGACATTAGAGCTCAGTGAGAGCTTGTGTGGTGCCTTCAGTGGCCTTGTGGAGCCGTTAGACATCAACATGGTGCTCTCAGGAGCCGGTGAGTCCTCAGAGTCACCGGTGTGGGGCCTTCAGAGCTCCGAGATACTGGTGTGGGGCCCTCAGAGGTGTCGGTGTGGGTCCTTCAGATGTAAGTATCTATATAGCCTTGAGATGCACAGTTGTGGTGGCCCACAGAGGCGCCGGTGTGGGGCCCCCAGAGCCACCGATATAGGGCCCTAAGAGACCCTAGTATGACCCTCAAAGGCGCCGCTGTGTGGCGCTCATAAACACTGGTGTGGAGCCATCACAGGCGGGTGGAGCCGTTAGAGGCCGGAAAGGGCCCTTAGATGCCTACAAGGAGCCTTCAGAAGCACGCGTGGCACCCTTATGGGGATAAGCGTGTCTACTTAGGAGCCCTTGAGGTGCTCTCATGAGCTCTGTGGGGCCCTACCGAGCCGAAATATGGCCACGGCCAGTTGCCGCCGCATGGCTCTTCGGACTATCATTCTCAGGGGCCTCATCTGCCTAGTTTGAATAGAAGGGCCTCTCAGACAATCAGTCTCATGGGCCTCCTCTGGCTAGTATAAATAGAAGGGCCTGTTAGACCATCAATCCTAGGGGCCTCTTCTGGTTAGTATAAATAGAAGAGTCTCTCAGACCATTAATCTCAGGGGGCTCCTGTGGACAGTATAAATAAAAGGGCCTCTCAGACCATCAGTCTCGGGGGCCTCCCTAGAAAAGTGTAAATGTGGATAGAGGGCCCGCTCAGATTCATTAGGAGTGGACCTCTCTGACTATCAGTCTCAGGGGCCTCTTGCAACCAGTATGAATATAAGAGCCTCTCAGACCATCGGTCTCAGGGGCCTCTTCTGACTAGTTTGGATAGAGGGCCCTCCCAGACCACCGGTTTCAGGGGCCTCCAGTGGCCAGTTATATGAACAGAAGGGCCTCACAGCCATCAGCCTCGGGGGCTTCTTCTGACTGGTGTGAATACTGAATATGAGGGCCTCTCATACCATCAGTCTCAGGGGCCTCCTCTGCCTAGTGTGAATATAAGGGCTTCCCAGGCCATCAGTCTCAGGGGACTCTTCTGACTGGTGCCGGATTGAGGGACCTCCCAGACCGAAAGTTTTGGGGGTCTCCTGTGCCAGTATGAATAGAAGGGCCTCTCAGTCCATCAGTCTCATGGGCCTCTTCTGCCTGGTGTGATTATAAGGGCCTCTCAGGTCATCAGTCTCAGGGGCCTCCTCTGACTACAGTGTAGATGGATAGGCCTCCCAGACCATCAGTCTCAGGGGCCTCTTCTGACTATTGAGGATAGAGGGGCCTCCTCTGACTAGTGAGGGTAGGGTGCCTCGGCTAGACCGCCAGTATCAGGGGTCTATTCTGACTAGTGTGGATGGAGGGGCCTCCCAGACCACCAGTCTCAGACCTCTGACGTGTGGATAGAGGGGCCTCCCAGACCGCCAGTGTCAGGGGCCTCCCCAGACCAGTGTGGATATTGGGGCCTCCTCAGATCCACTAGGGCCCCTCAGGCCATCAGTCTCAGGGGCTTCGACTGACAAGTATGAACAGAGGGCCTCCTTGGACCCATCACGGCCCCTTGGAGTCCGTGCGTGGGGATTCGTAGAACTTATTTTTACCGAGTTTGTTTATTCTGGAAGGTGACGACGTCCTCTCAAATCGAGACGAGGGGCCTCGAGTAAAAAGTGGGTGGGCCAAAACACATGGTTGGCCCCCCCACCTCGAAAAGTGGGTGGGCACTTGCCCACCTGGCCCCCCCTGTTCCTACGCCTATGGTTCGATCGTTAGACAGACTGAAACCAGTCATTGGAACTCAAGGCAGGCTGTGATATGTGGAATTCGAGGTCCTATATGAAACAGTGCGCGGAGCGTAGCGGGCAAATGGGGACTGAAATAAGGTAACAAGCGGAGAGTCGACACGGACTGAAGCGTCTTATGTGACTGAAACATGGGGTACAGACAGAATAGAGGCCTTGGGCCTTAGAGGTTACGAGGGATTGCAGGAAGGCAGCAGACCTGAAATCGGAAGCGGAAAGCGACGGTAAAATGCATAACTGAAAGCTGCAAATGAAAGTGAAAGCCAACTTTCTTTCCAGTCCATTACATGTCGTAATTTCAACGTCACGATGCGATTGATGAAATCGCTCGTCTGAACGGCTGTATCACGTTTCGTCTCCATCCCTTTTCGATGACATTTGGGAGTCAGAGTCAGGTCACAGAGCCAGTTAGAACCAGTTCAATCCGGTGACAGGCCCAAACCGACGGTGTCGCGGTCGGCGACGGGTACGGGGACGGGGAACGGGGGTGGTTGGGGGGGGGGAGGGTGACAGCGACAGACCGGTACGGCACGTGGGGTCAGGTGGCGCTGAAGTAACGGAACAGGCTGAAGTCGCCGGTGTTGTCGCTTCTCTCACAGCAGCCGTTCTTTCTGCAATAATCATATCGCGGGACAATACATAGCAAACACTGGGCATACAAGAGGCGCGTTTCCTCGAGAACCTTCCGACTTGCACACACTGGACACTCGTCAGTCGTACCTGAAACCAATGGACATTTTCATACACAAAGCCACACAATCACACACAAAAACCAGCGTCCCCCTCCTCTTACCATAACTGCCTTCTCCCGTCTTCCCGACGCCATCACGCCTGCGTTTGTTGGCGTCGTCTCGCTGGTCGCACCTCGTCCACTTGGGAACCGATCACACACTCACACGGCCGCGGCACGTGAGACAATAGTCCTTCTGCTATAGTCACCGCAGGAGCGGGCACCTAGAGCGCTCTAGGTGCAAGGCGCGCGCACCGAGTGCGTATCAGAAAAATCGGAATAGTAGATCGGACTGAAACGATGATTCACCATGGTTTTCTTGCCGAAAGCAGACATAAACACCATCTTGACATTAATCGACCGTACAGAAGGATTGAAATGACTGGGACCGAGGCCTGGACCAGAACGAGACGCCCCCGGCTTGTGAACGGGTACCGCGACCAGCGCCGATTCCCGAACGAATGACGCAGCGGCCGGCCGAGGGGAGGTTTTTACACCCGTCACTAGGTGGCAGGCGCGTCGCCTTGGCAGGGGCGATTCCAGTACTGGGAATCGGGAGGTTTCCTGGTTCGATGATGGTAACCAGGACCCTCTCGGTAAATAAACCGCAGGCTACCGGAGATGAACCCCGGGTAGTAGAGAAACAAGAACTAACCCGGTCACAAGAACGGGCTGAAGAGCAACTGTTCGATCTCCGAGAAACGACTGCTTCGATATGCACTTAGCGATAGGTAGGTATAGATTGACAATGATCAATCATTAATGAGAATGGTCATCCTCCAAGCTTGACATTGGCAGTCACGCATCTTTACGGAAAATACAACACTCCTACCACATAGTGTTTTGTCATTTTTTAGTTAGTGTACTTTTGGTCGCGCAGTGTGCACGTCGGTGCCCTTTTGCATTGTCATGCAACGAAGAAGATCACACATTTTTGTCGACCGAGCTACTTTTTCTAGTGATGATGTCTTGCTGTCTTGTCTTGCGTGTCTTGCTGATGTATGGAGAAGTGCTCGACTGTCTGACAAGTGACAGCTCTGTGTGGAATAATGACGTCAAGTCATGACCCTCGTGGCTGTACCGCAACTGCAGTCTGCACAGAACACTTGTTCTCCCGGTGACCCCATCGGCGCGACTGATGTGCTCCTGTCATTCTGTGACTCTGACACAGAAACATCGCATAGAAAGCCGTATTGTCTGCCATCTTTGGCTCCAGTTTCAAACGTCGGCAGATTCGTATGCAAAGCAGAGCTAGTTTTTGCTATTTATCTGAATCGGTTTTCGAACCATTCCAGCTCATTCGGCTAAAACTTGAGCTATAAATAAACGAACATTGCAGTGAAAGCTTTATTTGGGCGACATTATTGAACGTTGTTATATTGCTTCAATTCGTGAAGACAAGTCCGTTTTATTCGAGGACATGGTAGGTCATAAGTGCGAGAGAGTGGCCTAATTGCTACAAGTGCCATTATGGGCCATATGTGCTGTTCTATGATGTTGCAATGCTGATTGTGGCAAGTGGCGGAATGGATGGCCGAATCATTGCCGAATCTTTGAACGTTTCTGCGGATGATGGTACTTTATATAAATATTAACCGTAGCCAAACAGTTTCACGCGTCTCGTCGGTTAGCAAAATGACTAACGGCTAAGCTCCTATGTATGGCGTCAGAATCGCCCGGGCCAATAAACTTCGAAGTTTGTACTCCACTCCCGGAGAAAGGTTAAGTGGCACTGTAAAAAGGCGTTTCAGGAGACGGGTCTGACTTTCAGAGATATTTTGTGGTCGTTACGCTCTACCCAAAGCCTAAAGAAAATGTCCCGACTAAGTCGTGAATGTTCACTCGGCAGGCCTGTGTACAGCACCATAAAGGCTAATTACGAGGTCTCCACCGGTCGTCTGCCCTATCGATGGTTCGCCAGCTTCAACGTGACCCCACAGCTGAGACTGGTGCCCTACAGAACTCGTTTCATTCATTTCTTTATTATATTTTCTTTATTGGACATTCTATTAACAGATAACAAACAGATTGAAAACATTAACAAGTCGAGGACACCTGCGTTTAGAGTTAAATGATGAAGCCATCAGAACAACTATTTGAATTAGTAGCTAACGCTGTTGTCACTGCTACCGAAGCTTCCGCTGTTGTCACCGTTTCCAAAGCTGCCGCTGCCAATGCTTCGCATGCTGCCATCGCTGCTACCGAAGCTACCGCTGTTGTCACCGCTACCAAAGCTGCCGCTGTTGTCACCGTTTCCAAAGCTGCCGCTGTTGTCACCGCTTCCAAAGCTGTCGCTGTTGTCGCCGCCAGGGCTGGTAAAAAAGCAAATTGCGTCCCCGACCAAAAAATGAGAGCGAAAAATAACCCCGACCTTTTTACGATTCATGTATGCAGGCTGCATGCAACTACGATGCGCGTTTCCTTAGGTTTCATTTCTATATTATTTTTTTTACGAGCAGTCATATGTACTAAATTGCTTATCAGACTCGCGCTTCGAAATTTCCAGTTTGTTAATTAAATGTCACGGCATCACTCTGTCAGCGGGTAGCGTAACAGACGAAGAACCCGGAAAGGGTAGGGGGCGCTACGATCGTCGAACAGATGCAATAGGTGTCGCTATTGTATCGGTAGCTCACAACGACGACGGCTAGAAACTATCGACCCCGCATGAATTTACCATGACCCCGGTTCCGAATCTAGTCGTTTGTCTAGTCGTATAGCTGGCTACAACTGGTCGTCAATCAACCCCGCTTGAAATAGCACAGCCGATAGCGGGGTCGGTGTCTAAGCGTCTGTTAGTATGTGTTTGATCATCTAGTTTGATTTAGTTTTCGTTAGCAACTGTCGACGGTAGTTTTGCTGTTAACGGAAGTGAGTTGTGGCTACTAATTGTTCATAACCATGTTGTAGGTATGTATCAGGTATAGGGGCTTTTTATGTCCTTGTTAAAGGGGATATACGTTGTGGATTCAATGATATCTTTTACTTGCGTTTAGTTTCTGCTTTATTTGAAAGTTATTTATTACTGTAAAAGTTTACTAAATGTGGTAATTTTGACCCCGGGTACTTGAACTTTTACTGGTACTGTGTCCCCGACGACGTCAATAGGACATAACACTTTACCAGCCCTGGTCGCCGCTACCAAAGCTGCCGCTGTTGTCACCGCTTCCAAAGCTGCCGCTGCCCATGCTACCATCGCTGCTTCCGAAGCTGCCGCTGTTGTCACCGCTACCAAAGCTGCCGCTGTTGTCACCGCTACCAAAGCTGCCGCTGTTGTCACCGCTTCCAAAGCTGCCGCTGTTGTCACCGCTTCCAAAGCTGCCGCTGTTGTCACCGCTTCCAAAGCTGCCGCTGTTGTCACCGCTTCCAAAGCTGCCGCTGCCCATGCTTCGCATGCTGCCATCGCTGCTACCGAAGCTACCGCTGTTGTCACCGCTTCCGAAGCTGCCGCTGTTGTCGCCGCTTCCAAAGCTGCCGCTGTTGTCACCGCTTCCAAAGCTGCCGCTGCCCATGCTTCGCATGCTGCCATCGCTGCTACCGAAGCTACCGCTGTTGTCACCGCTTCTGAAGCTGCCGCTGTTGTCACCGCTACCAAAGCTGCCGCTGTTATCACCGCTTCCAAAGCTGCCGCTGTTGTCACCGCTACCAAAGCTGCCGCTGTTATCACCGCTTCCAAAGCTGCTGCTGTTGTCACCACTTCTAAAGCTGCCGCTGCCCATGCTTCGCATGCTGTCATCGCTGCTACCGAAGCTACCGCTGTTGTCACCGCTTCCAAAGCTGCCGCTGTTGTCGCCGCTTCCAAAGCTGCCGCTGTTGTCACCGCTTCCAAAGCTGCCGCTGCCCATGCTTCGCATGCTGCCATCGCTGCTACCGAAGCTACCGCTGTTGTCACCGCTTCCGAAGCTGCCGCTGTTGTCACCGCTTCCAAAGCTGCCGCTGTTGTCGCCGCTTCCAAAGCTGCCGCTGTTGTCACCGCTTCCAAAGCTGCCGCTGCCCATGCTTCGCATGCTGCCATCGCTACTACCGAAGCTACCGCTGTTGTCACCGCTTCCGAAGCTGCCGCTGTTGTCACCGCTTCCAAAGCTGCCGCTGTTGTCACCGCTTCCAAAGCTGTCGCTGCTCATGCTACGCATGCTGCCATCGCTGCTACCGAAGCTACCGCTGTTGTCGCCGCTTCCAAAGCTGCCGCTGTTGTCACCGCTTCCAAAGCTGCCGCTGTTGTCACCGCTTCCAAAGCTGCCGCTGCCCATGCTTCTCATGCTGCCATCGCTGCTACCGAAGCTGCCGCTGTTGTCACCGCTTCCAAAGCTGTCAGAGGAGCCAAAGCTGCCGGAGGAGCCATAGGGCTTCCTCACGACCCTTGCGGCGGCGAGACCGATGAGCAGGAGGACAACCAGAGAGCGCATGGCGCTGTTTGCTGAGTTCTCCGGTGGAAAAGTGAGGATGGGGGCATCATGGTGCGTTTTATACATCTGGGGAGCGCTCACGTGTCGGCAGCGTTTCTGCTGAGTAGGCACCCTTCCCGTGACGGCCTGCGTCGGCACCCTATCATCGCGTGCTCGTTGAATGCGGAAACTGTCGGGCATTTAGAAACCAACACTTGCCAGTCCCGACGGAACAAGTGTGTTTAAGACTGGGAATGACGATGTAAGCAGATGGTTAAAAAAAAACTGCGAATAAAACAATCGCTTAGCTTAGCTGTTGGCAGCAAGGTGCACTGAATGGACAGGAAGAGATTGTGCACCCTCGTGCTATCGTGTGCACACTTGTGCTGGAGGTGCCAGATGCCATTTCAAAGAGCGAGAAACGAATAGGTAGGGCACGGCACAAAAAATATATATGTGGGAGCTATGCTTCAACCCGCTCTGAAAAGACGAATACAAATTACCAAATGTGGTTGGCCTGTTGTCTTATCAAATTCTTCCTTGTTGACTGCCATAAAATAGTATTGAATATTAATACATACTTTACGGTGCGTTCACTGGATATTAACCGTGCGCTAATTCGAATGTAACCGTGCACCAATTTAACCCTCGCCGGACCTTTTGGTTTTCTACATACGCGCCGGCCGAGGGGGGGGGGGGGCGGGTACGACCCCCATCGCCGTTTCGCCCCTAGTGGAGCCAGCGCGTCGCGGAAAAACGAGCGTGTGCGCCGTTACGAGACGCAGAGATTGGTACCCGATTTTAAGGTCCTAGGTCAACCGGTGACCAAGATTCTTACAGAAAAGGTTGGGACGCCAGTCACGTGATCCTTTTTCTGCTTTTCCCAACCCTACTCACGATTTTCATAAGCCTTGATTTATTCCTTGCACGGAGGCGTTTGTACTTATTTTATATACAAAAACTAATTCAATGATATTTGAAATTAACAAACAGATTTTACTCGCAATCTCAAACAAAAATTGAATTTATTCGCGTTTCATTAATTTAATCAGCTGGCAACCATCACCCATCGTCCTCGATGTAGTCGAACTTGGCGCGCTCAGATAGTGTTCGAAGTTTGTGACGCTTACATGTTGCTATGGCGACCGAGCAGTAGGTACCTACGATTTTCATTTGCCAACAAGTGCTTGCGGAGCTGCCGCTCACACTTTTGAACACAGTCTTTATGCGTCAGTTTATTTTACGCATCATATCTGAAACATGTTTCGTGAGGCTCCGAAACCATTCAATTCATCTCCTTCAAAAGAAGTATTTTGTAACATTTTCGATATGTTTTTTTTTTTGGGCTTAATTGCTAGCTCCATTCATCTTATCTTGCGTGAGGATAGTCATCACTCGGGGACCAGTCGTTGAAAGCAAGGAACAACGACGAGAAGAAGGTCTTGTAAAAAGTCGCAGCGATTGCATTGAGCATTAAATGACGAAAATATTTTACCCCCCACCGCCTCAGGCGATCACGTGCTGTCACCCACCTGCCGGTGACATCTGAGTTCAGGTCAAGTGCCCCAAGGTACGGTTCAGTTTTTGGTGAATAACTTCGCAAAAAACGGTCGCAGAGCCGCGATTTTGGCAGCATCGTGTTCGCCTCGCTTAGGCGCGTCGAATGATATACTTTTTGTTCGGGTCAGGTCAACTTAGGGTGTTGACCTTAGGTCAAGGTCAGGTCAGCACCCCAGGTCACGAAGTTGGTCGAAAGAGGTCATGTCGCATATCATTCGATTCGGCAGGTCTTCCTGCGTCCATTGGTGGCTTTCCTGACTCGCTAGCTCAATTTGATCAGGAGTTATTGACGAAAAACTAATGTGACCTTGATGACGTCATAAATGACGTCACGCAAGGTCAACATTGCAAAAGTGACGCATCTTACCTTGCAAGGAGTGCATCAAATCACGATTCTGTGTGCTTGAGATAGTTGGAGATCGTTCCCGGCGCCAGAATAGCAGTTTTCATTTTTCCCCATTGACTTATAATGGTGAGGTCACGAAAATGACCTGACCTCATATTACCTTTAGGAAGAATCTGAGATATACAAGTTGTGAGGCTCATAATGGATACTAGATCCTGCAAGTTTCATTTCCCTGTGACATCTCCTCTGGCAGTGAGGGCGTTGAGAAGTTGCGACATCTGAAGACCGTGCAGAGGTTCACTTATGACGTCATAGGTCAGTGACCTGACCTGACCCAAAAATGCGGTTGGTTTGAAAAGATCTGGCTTGAATCAAAGGTCAGGTATGCCAAGTTTCAGCTCTCTGTAGCCAGCGTGTTCGGAGCTATCGCGAAAACAACTACCTACCAGGGGCGGAGCTTCCTATTCAGTTGGCGGCGCGGCTGCCCGCCAACTTGGCATTTTGCCCCACCAATAAGCATTTTTCCCCACCAACTTTAGCTGATTTCTAAGACTTTGTTGCTTTGCAAATTAATTTTTTTGGCATTGAAGATCTTTAGAATGTCCGTTTAATGCAAAATGTTATATCTGTAATGATAGGAATTGATTCAACGTGGCAACTGGCATTTTATTCAAATTCATAATCGGACATTGTGAGTTTGACGACTTTTTGCCCCACCAACTTCCCTGGAAAAACTCCACCCATGCTACCTACTAAAATTTATCAGGTACCAAGCGGATCAAACGAATGAAAAATGTGCTCAATATACCGTCGTGAAAAGGACTATATCGTGAGATATCAAATGCACCTTGGTCTTCCCCTCTTTTAACCGCTTTTCTAATTAACTCAATGAAGGTTTCACTTGCTTTTTGCAGACATTAAACTGTCGCTGGAAATATTGTTTGAAATTTAGTGGGCAAGTTTTCCCAAGCGATACCTAGGAAAACAGACGAATACATTTGTTCATCTAGACATAGTGCTGCGAAAGGTGCAACATACATAAATAATGACTTCTTGTGACGTCATCAGTACCTACCTAACCCAATGACCAATGCACCTATATAACTCACCTGGCATATCGGTGATGGGTCATTTGGAGGCCATTTGAAAGTTGAAAATCAGCAGAGTTATAGTCTGGCAAACCTAAGAAAAAACAGATTTGAAGTTCATCTGCCATTGATGCACGTGTTTTTATATTAATTCCAATATAACCGAGAACATTTTTTTTCGTGGCGTTTCAGAAAAAAATTATTGGACTATGCACCAGGGGGGCGACACGGCTATTCGCGCAATGTATTAGTTTATGGGCCGCGCGGGGCCTCGCGATGACGCGGCTGGAGGCAACTGCTCAGCGCGCTAGGATACTTCTGGCGGGGCCGGGCGCTGAACGGTGTGCAATGAATGGGTTATGGTCGGGCAGACAGAGATGAGGCATTGAATTTGAATTGATATCAGCAATCGGGTGGGGAAGGAGAACGTTTCTAATCGAGCTTGGGATGGGGAAAGCCGAAAATATCACGATCGGCTCATAGCTCCGACAGGGCCGGGTGCTGTACCATGTGTAGTATATTTAGGCGGGCAGACAGAGATGAGTTATTGGATTTAAATTCACCTTACCATCGGTTTCTGGTGAGGTTTGAAGACGTCTTTAGTCAAGCTCGGAGTGGGGCAACGGCCACTGGCGGATCCAGGGGAAGGCATTTGGGGCAAATGTCTTCCCCAACAACCAGGGCAGCGCCCGAACTCGATTTTCGAGAATAAATGAAAACTTCACAACTTTTCTGAGGAAATGTTGGTTAATCACACCGCACAGCAGTGCGCAAGGAATCGAAATCCGAGTTTTTTAAATCAATTCCGAGAAACCTTTTTGGGGTAAGCCCGCGCAGTGTCCAATACCGCTTCCTGGATCCGCCAGTTGTGAATAAGTCACGGTCGATACCGAGCTTCGGCGGGACCAGGCGCTGAACACGTTGTTCTTTGAATGAAGAGGTGGACAGACACCTAGCCCCACATCCTACTGCTATGCCCGTGCTTCTGTGGATGAAGCACTAAAGCACCACGGAATCCCAGAGGACCTGCGAGTCGACGAGGTGGCCGCTTTGGCCGCCGGGTACTGCAGCTCCCTGGAGTTGCCTGGGACCGATGGCAAAACAACAGCTCCGGCGGTGCCCCTATGGGCCGTAGTAATTAGTGAATTCCCGTAATGTAGAGATCATATCCTCAATGATCTCCATTACCATTTTATATTCCTAAACAATATGACAGACCAATTATGCTTGCCTACGTTCAGGCATTACCTCTGATGGTCATACGCCCAGTACAACATGTGTTGTCTGTCAAACAACAATCGACGACGGGATCCCTTCTCATCATCTCTTAAGCCATCGGTTGTCAATTCACCCACCCCGTTTCCCTAAAAATAGACGGTCAGATTCGGCCTGGGTCCTTACGACCCCTCTAAATTCGCCAGAGACGGGATCGGATCGCCGTTATTGCACCCGTCTTAGTGTCTTAAATACTATGACAGCTTCGACCACGGACGTCGGACGGGGTGATCGTTCCACGAATGTACGCACCATCCAGGCCTAGGATGCATCGAGGTTTAAAAGGATGCAGTCTGTAGATCAAGCAACAAACAATGGTGGTATGCAACCACTTTAAAATATCTCCCTGGCTCCCGCAACGTTCCAACGCCCCTCCGTTATGCATTCGCCCTGTGTGTCCGCCGAGCCGGCTTGCCTCCAATGACGTCATCGGCCGGCCGGCGGCGTTCAAGGTCAAACGGCTGGTGTCCTTACCTGGAGTTCTATAGCCTTGCTATGCACTTGCAGTGGTCAAATCACGCGCAATATTCGGGGTGTAAGGTCTACCACCACCCATCAACAGAGTCCCGGAATAGTCATGCTGTTGCTTGTGATGTGGCATAGCTGCAAAAATGTACCTGTATTTTCAATAATCACCGTCATAGGCGCAGGACGGTAGGACGGCGACGGCCTTGCCCCCGCCCCCACTTTTCAGCCATTTTTTAAAGTAAAATATTTATTTTTGATTTAAATACAAAACTAAGAGCAAGACA